ACACCTCTACCTTCAACACCTCTACCTTTAACACCTCTAACTTCTACACCTCTACCTTCTACACCTCTACCTTCTACACCTCTACCTTCTACACCTCTACCTTCTACACCTCTACCTTCTACACCTCTATCTTCTACACCTCTACCTTCAAACACCCCTACCTTCTACACCTCTACCTTCTACACCTCTACCTTCTACACCTCTATCTTCTACACCTCTACCTTCAACACCTCTACCTTCAACACCTCTACCTTCAACACCTCTACCTTCTACACCTCTACCTTCTACACCTCTACCTTCTACACCTTTACCTTCTACACGTATACCTATACAGTCACATGATTCCTGCACAGAGCCTATTCAACTAACATAATGTATCTTACAGGCTAGATGCATTTAATATTTTGCTCTGTTGCAGTACATGTCACCAATTCTTGGTGACAACTACTATATAGTCAGATATCCATTCAAACAAGGAGATGATGGTGACTACCTTCACATTGCGAAAGTTGATATTGGGGTAAGAAGTGGTGCATTCATGCAATGAAAATGCAATGAATTTTATTTGAAATATGTTGATAATGATATGTATTATGGGCATGTTTTATTACTCACTCTTATTCATGAAATAGTAATTCTTTTCTTAAATTTATTTTTTGAGTCACATTTTTATATTGTAAAACGTCTTTGAACTTAAGGATATTGACGCTATATAAATTATTCCTTATTATTATTATTCCTTATTATTCAATTCTCAGATAAAATTACTGACTCTATAAAGACAGTCAAACAATTTATTGGATAAAGCTGAACAGGATACAGTACATATCATAAATCATCATGACCTCAGTAGTTTAGTCATCTGCTTCAGCCCAGACTTTGATAACCTAGCCTTATTAGCCGTATTAGTTCTATGTGCTGAAAAAAGCACAGACAGCCCAACAAGGAACAAATATTCTGGACGAAGGACTTTTCCAATTCCACCAATTTTAGTGACCCAAAAATGGGCCGTTCAATTATGCTTGTGTCCTTCATCAATGTATGAAAATTTAGTGTGATATGCAGAAATACACACCATTATTAGTGCGAAACGAAAATGAAGATCCTTTCAAGAGAAACAAAATCTTTGAATCGTGACTTTGAAGCTCCTTTTTTTCACTTGCTCTCTCTTTTTTGACTCTGTAAGTCTTGGAGTCTTGGACCAAGTCTACCTTGTTAGCTGCTAAAGCAAAGCTGACTATTGTGAGGCAAAGTGCCGAAGTCTTGATGGTTTATGATATCATGCGAAGACCAAATTCATAATTTATGAAATGTGTTTTTGTCTTTTGGTAAAGATCTATATGTTAAGTGTATGCTACATATACATATTAAGAAATCTGCCTCAGTTGGGTTCTCACGGGACTTGAACCACTGACCTCTCGTTTGCTAGACGAGATCTCAACCGCTCGATTTACAATCGATAAAAATTCGGTTGATTTACGGATATTCCAAGCGGGTTCTGAACTGTGTTTGTCCCGTCTCATGTTGGGTAAAAGATCACGCGCGGATTTGATTAAAATATAGATCTAACACGACCTCTCCTGTAAAGCCTCAGTGGCCGAGGAGTTGAGATCTAGTCTAGCAAACGAGAGGTCAGTGGTTCAAGTCCCACGAGAACCCAACTGAGGCAGATTTTTTAATCTGCTTATATGCTCGATGTAGCATACACTTAACATATAAATTCATAATTGTTTTATTATAAATTTTGTAAATTGAAAATGAAGATTTAATTCTACTTCTCAAACAAAGTCTCTGAAAACTTTCAAAAATATCAGAATATCATGGATAAACTTGACATGACAAATCATTGTATTATCTGCAGAAAAACTTTCAGATAATACATGTATCATGTCCAGTTCACATGGTATCAGGGATTGCTGGATATTCTCAATATAGCACTATTAAATGTGACATAGTTCGAACAAAAAACGACTTTCAGGTCCAAATTAATAATTACTTCTACAGACGTTTTTCTTTGTTTTTTTTTCTATTCTTATATCTTATTGTTATTCTATGCAACAGAGTGGAGAGATAACACCAATAACATCTGGTAAATGGGAAGTTACAAACGTGTATGCATTTGATGACCAAAGAGAACTTCTGTAAGTATTTTCTAACAAGGTAATTCAATATCTAACACATTGCAAGTTGATCTAGTTTTTGAGCACTCATCTCACAAAAAAATAATGTTTAGTTCCAGGAACTATCCATACCCCTCCCCACCCATGGAAGATTTTTCTAAAAACTCCCTTCTACTCCCGGAAATTCCAATTTTCTTCCATACAAATATTTGTAATTTTTGTTCTTTCTCTAACCCCCCCCCCCTTTCCCTTCAGAAATTCCAAATTCCTTTGTGGGGTGGGTATGAATAATAGTTGCCTTGCAGCGCTTTGGATTGCAGCTAAAAACTCCCTTCTACTCCCGGAAATTCCAATTTTCTTCCATACAAATATTTGTAATTTTTGTTCTTTCTCTAACCCCCCCCCCTTTCCCTTCAGAAATTCCAAATTCCTTTGTGGGGTGGGTATGAATAATAGTTGCCTTGCAGCGCTTTGGATTGCAGCTCAATCTGGGGGACAAAACAATAGGCCTCAATTCTCAGAAGATTGGAATTCTTTTGTTTTGTCCCCCAAATTGAGTTGCTTTGATGTCACATGCAAGGGGTCTATTTCTGGAACTACACAATGTCCACAAGTGTCAGATTTGGATAACATGATGATGTGATGGTGTTTGATTCTTTTTTCATTTTTTGAAGGTTCTTTGAGAGCACTCGAGAATCTCCTGTTACACGTCACATCTACAGGTTTGTTTGGGATGCTTGTTATAATATAATAACAGTTGAATCACACATTATCACATAAAAAATAAATCACAATCTGTTAACAAATAGCAAAAACATTTACAAAATCGTTAAAATATATAACTATGCTATACAAATTCAGGGGTTTAGGTTTGGAATACTTGAATTTATTTCTAATTTGTCTTGTTACAGTGTGTCTATAAAAGACAATGTCATTACCTGTCTATCCTGTAATCTCCCAGAAGTTAAAAGTAAGTACAATCCTTCTCTTTAAAGTATCTCTGTCTGTCTGTCTGTCTGTATGTATGTCTTCAGTCAGACATTCATTCAGCTTTTTAACTAGGTCACTCAATAAGCTATCAATGTAAATATTGCTTTTTCTTTCTATGTTTAGGGGGTGAATCTAGTTACTTTAGAGCTTCATTCAGTAAGAAGGGTAGCTGGTATGTGCTTGATAGTCAAGGTATGATTCTTGAAATAGTTAGAAGCCATTTGAGTGATGCAGTAGTGTACATTATTGTTAAGTCACTGAATTTGGTTCAGTTATAGCCTTATATGCATACTGCATGTTGCAGAGAGTCATAAGTAAGAATTTGGTTCAGGGACCATGGAAAACGAAAACCCCTCTACATTGCTAATATCCCCTGAATTTTCCGCGTSCAATCCTCCCTCCCACTATTAACCTTATGGATAAAGAAATAATAGTTAAGAGATTGGCTAGTTGTCTAGAATGGGAAAATAATTATTTGTCGTCGCGACAAAAAAGTGTTTCGGAGTTTTGATGTTTCAATAAGCCTGAAGCGAGATGACGTTTTAGCCCCGTCTCTAGACCATAATCCTTTTCACACTGCTTTTGTTCTTTAATTATGACTATTGTTCCTGTATTCTCTAAGGAATAAAAAAATTTAATATGAAAGAATTTTAAAAACTATTATGGTATAGAGTTGGGGGTAAAACGTCATCTCGCTTCAGGCATATTACAGTACATCGTCGGAAAACACAAAGTTTTCAAGGACACGTCCCGATGGAATGTCATGGAATCGCCTTGACTGACATCCCCAAAACCTGCTTCATCACGAAGATGATTGTGCATACTAATGTCATCTTTGACCTGCTACTAATAGTATCTTTGCTTTCCATGTGTTCGTAGGACCATCTGTTCCTTGGACACGACTCTACAGCAGCAAAGACCCAACCAAAGGTATTTATCAAACATTAATATTACTGCTCGTTTTTTAGACTCATATAACGATAAGTGACTTTTTACTCTCGTTGAATTCCAGTGGTTTTATTGGAAAATAACCAGGAACTAAAAGAGAAGTTGAAAAAACTACCGATGGGTAAGACGAAGATTATCAAGGTTCCAAGTGACAATAACGGTGAGATAACTAAAAGCTATATTTTGGTTTTCTTTCAATGACGACGTCATTATTGTTATTGAAATTGTTTCATAGCTGTGTGCCACCAATGTCACCCAATAACCACGAGTCAAGCCCCTGTTTTCTTATTAATATTATTATCTTGTTCTAGAGATCTACACCAAGATATTTTACCCACCATTTTTCGATGAGAGAAAGAAGTATGCTGTGATGTTCTACGTGTAAGTTGACGAATGTTTTTCTACTTTTCGTTGCCAAAAAATAAAATAAGAAATCAAACATAATGGAAAACAACTATTCGCTTCAATAATGAATTCTGTTCCATGGAATCCAAGTGAATATGTGACCTACATCATTACAGCAAGGTGGTAGAATGCAAACCACAGGTATTCTGTGAAAAAGTCGGTGTCGTATGCGTGCCTTGCCACGACCGTGTAGTTTTCTAGACTTTTGATTGGGGAATTTTTTCTCTCGCGCAATGTGATTGGTCGGACATTGCCGTGACATTGGCGTGACCGTGTCCGCGCCGTGTTTCGGACATTTGATTGGATGGAGAGTAAATTCTCGTGCAATGTGATTGGTCTGGCGTATGCCTTGCCGTGTCATGACCGTTATCGTGCCGTGAGCTTTTCACAGTCATACGAAAACTTCTCTATATCCATGAAATAGTGCTAACTAATTAGTTTTTGTTCTATTTCACGGATATATTAGTTTGTACTCTAGAGTGCAAACAATATAACCGTGAAACTTTAGTAATACTAAATAGCGCAATTTCATGCGAATTCCATTGTTTTCTATTGTTTAATTAGCACTATTTTGTACTATTTAGTAAATAGTGTTTCACGGATTAATTGTTTGCACTCTACCAAACTCATCATTTATTTTGTATTTAATTTTTTCTCTCTGTTTGTTTCTTTTCCTCAGCTATGGCGGCCCTTCTACTCAAAGTGTAAGTTTGTCCTTTCTTGAATGAGTGATAGTTTACATTTACGAAATCTTTTGCACTCGAGTTGATATTAAAATGCTTTTACGTTGTTTATGTTTCCTTCTGAACGCTTTTAAGCCTCTTTCCTGTAAGAAAAGTAATATTGAGGAGATTCGTACTGGAATTGTGTAACCCTATGTGTGCATGTTAACAGGTGTCAGATGCATGGAGCCTTGGCTTTGAAGCTGGTTATCTCTCGCATAATTTCGACATGATATGCGTCTATGTTGACGCTCGAGGAACAATGGGAAGAGGACAGAGGTATGTTACAAGTGCTCCGAAATTCACAGCTGGAGCAACTGACGGATGAAATTTAATAGGCTAAGTGTGCAATGATGGTAATGGCGGTTCACTGATAGGAAGGCCACGTATGATGTAGCTGATAAAAACTAAGGAAAACTGTGAAACCAGAAGAAAGACCTACAAAGCATACTTTTCATAGACACACCTTGGTGAAATGTCTGCGCATGCGTTAGGCATGAGTTGCGTACACCGCGGACGCGTCTGTTTTCCCGCCTAAATGTTAATAATGCGTTGGCTTGTGACTAATGCGCGATGGAAGCTTATCATAAAGCATTTACATGCCGGATATTTCCATGTATAAAGTACTACGTGGTCCTGAAAAGGGCTGTTCGTGGTTGCATGATATCATTATCAATTTATATATTTGTATTTTAGGTTTAAACATGCTGTATTCCATCACCTTGGTAGATACGAAGCTACTGACACAATTAACGTTGCCAAGTAAGACACATTGACCAGTCCCTCTTACTCGAGTTTGCCTAATGGTCGTGGGTCGTGGGTCGTGGGTCGTGGGTACGAAGTCGTGGGTCGTGGGTACGAAGTCGTGGGTCGTGGGTAAAAAGTCGTGGGTTCCATTTTTTCCCCCAAATTTCCAAATTTATCATTTCTTCACTATTCTTCTAAAGCGAGATTGTGTGGCTTTCTTCCCGTAAATTCGCGAACTCGACTCGAAGTATTAACGTAAAGCTTATAGCTTTTTGTCTCTATTATTAGATTATAGGTTTTTTATAGGTTTAAATATCAACTCTACTATGCAAAATGGTTCTCAGTAAGGTGGTTCTCAAAACTGCGCAAGCTCCCCGCGTTATAACTCAGGGTTTTTCTTTTTTTTGAAAAGGCAAACCAAGCTCTGAACCAGGATTAACCGGTAACGTCTATAAAATCCCCAAACTTTGCTGTCCTCAAAATTAGCTAGTCACGCAAATCTTGACCTCTTGTTTGTCATTGGTAGTTGTTAAAAGCAAATATTTTGAGTTTTGGCTTGATAATAGAAAACGAAAGGAGCATCTTATCAGATATTTCCATAAACTTTACACCAACAATGAGAAGCAAAAATAGACTATGTGAAAAGCGATCGAATTAGAAGTGTGTTGAGAATGATTCGAAATTCAAAAAAGTTTTTGTACTGTCCATACAGCGTGAGCAATGCAGAGTAAAATATTTCAATCTATGGCATAGCTAGGCTCTTTCCAGTCGCACCTAATACGAAAAGATACTAGATCTCTCGTATACATTAAGACATAAAATCAAAATTTGGTTCCAATAAAACTGAATAAAAGGTTTGAGACTGGTGATGAAGATGAAGATGGAGACACGTGTTGGAATCTCCTAAACGGGCGATTATTCGTCATTCCATGTAGTTGGTGGACATGATTTTTTAAAGAGCTGACTCTATTGGAATTTCTACTTTACTTATAATTTAGGTATAGACCCGCAAAATCAAGAATAAAACATCGTTTTGATTATACTTACATCAAATCGGTTCTTCTCTAAGTTAGTGAATATAACTTCTTTGACCTTCCTGGTATTTAAGCCCAACTGATACGCTCCCGCGGCATAAAAGCAGTCCCTATCAACCTTGGAGTCGTAGGTAACGGTAAACCCCGCACTTTCGAGTCGTTTACTCAGGATTTCCACACTAACGCAGAGAACTACTAAGAAATAGTGAAACAAGCTTTCTCGCAACGACACAAATAGAACGAGGAGAAACGCGATGCCGAAAACGCGAATTTGCTGTCCATCAACTTCACACGTTTGCAGCGGCTTGTCGCTCCAGTTTCTAGGTAACATCTTGATAAAGTCCATTGAAGACTCCTCGTTGAAGCGAGACAAGGTAGAAGACTAGTTTTTTGTTTTTTTTTTCTTTTTCTTTTTTTTTTCCCCGCCAAATTTATGTTTGAACAGTAAGGCCAATATAAATGAAATGTAAGAAAGTGCTAAAAGGTTTTCCAGGCCACCAATTTTGGTGTATTTTTATAACACTGTCACGCAAATCAGACACAGACAACCTTGCACAACCCACAATTACACCGAATTTATAGGAACAAAACCACGCGATTTCGTTTTGGAAGTATAGTGATAAATTTAACTTTAAAAATGATAAATTTGGAAAAAAATGAACCAACACTTCGTACCCACGACTTCATACCCACGACCCACGACTTCGTACCCACGACCCACGACCCACGACCATTAGGCAAACTCCTCTTGCTCTCGTTATTAATGACCTTAAGATTTATAAAAAGTGTTATAAAAGTGTAAATTACTTGGGTTTAGGGTTTCGTTCCTTCAAAGTCTGTCTTCTCTGTGAATGAGTTGACTTTCCTGACAAAGTTTGGAGTAAAAATCTCCAATAAACAGAACCCTAAAGAGAAATTTACACTTCCGGTTGACATCGTTGACGAGCCTTAAGTCCCCTATTATGAAGTAGAGTAGATTCAATCCAGGCTCAGGGTGATTAATGTGAAATTTTCTATCACTTTTCATTTCAGATACATGCGAAACTTACCGTATGTGGACAAAGACAAAATAGCCATCTGGGGATGGGTGAGTCTGTTCTTTTGATATACTTTTCCTTATTCAGATCATCTGTACTAACTTAAGTTTTTTTTTTCTTTTTCCATGCGTTTTTTTTTTCTAGTCTTATGGTGGTTACCTAACGTCGTACGTTCTTGGGCAAGATACTGGTGTATTCAAGTTGGGCATGGCTGTTGCCCCGGTGGCAGACTGGAGATATTATGGTATGAATATTCATTGTTAATGATGGTCGTTAGTTGAGACTGTGATCAAACCTAACCCATGGTCCGTGGTACAGGATTAACTAAATAGTCCCCTTAACAGTTTCCTTGCCATCTTGGAAGGTAACTGAGCCTGTTCAATGATAGAGACGTGTGAATGCTTGTCCAGGGTGTTTTAAAAGAAATGTCTCTATCATTGCAAGGTCACCGCCGTTCTCGCTTCGATAAAGCAACTTTGGATCTGTGAAGGAAACTATTCCTTAGACTCCATAAAAATGCCGCGAATTTGAAAACTTCTTCTCAAATTTCTCACTTGAAATGTCATTGAAATGATAAAAGTTGAGAAAAAAGCTAAAAGAATCCTTGGTTGCTCATTGAAAATCGAAAGTGTAGGCCTGACTTTGTGGTGTAGTTGAGAAAATCATCAAATAGCAGATAAGTCACTTCATTAAAATGGTGAGAAAAATATCACTGTTTCAAACATATATAATGTCTTAAGAAATGGAGTTTTAAATTTATAAAACTCTCTATGAAAAATTCTTGACTTGCTTTGAGGAATCCTGCATGCACCCTGTGTAAGTTACTTATAATGTTTCATGTTTACACTAGATTCAATATACACGGAACGTTACATGGGATTACCACAGTACAACAAGGAGGGCTACGAAGTAAGTTTGCATCATGTGCTCAATATCACTTTTCCTAAAAGTACGATTACACGGAGCAACTTGAAACTTGTCCCGAAACTGCAAAAATGTTGCGCGAGAATGTCTCTGTCCATCTACATAAACGCGGTAGTCAGCCAATCAGCGCGCGCGTTATATGTCAAATATTTTCTAAACAGGAATAAATGTATTATATTAGAGTGAGTAATGCTGATGATGATAAGAGTGAGTATTTCTGGTCGGAAATTATCAATATTATACGTGTTCATTATAGAACTTTCAACTTCAAATAGACGTTTAAATAAACGATATAGAAAATGCTGTAAAAGGTCTGCATGAACAGTAAGAAAGATAGACCGCTGAGTACAAATGAAATTGATTTTTCTTCCATCCAGGAATCATCAGTTCTTCCACTAGCCAAGAATTTCAAGAACGTACACTATTTGTTGGTTCATGGTACGGCTGACGGTAAGATTAATAAAGTATTTATTATTAGCCACAGCTTAAATGTCATTGAATTTTTGTACTTCTTTTGGTTGCTTTTGGTCGATAAGAGTATGTATACTCTTCCTCTTCCTCTTCACCACCATCATCATCCTCACAATCATCACCTCAATCATCATCATCATCATCGCCACCATCATTATCACCATCATCACCACCACCATCATCATCATCACCAGCATCACCACCA